CCAAAGCAATGTTTGAAAGGTGCTTTAATGTAACCTCAGACACTCACTTGTCCCTAAGAGATTTTTGGAAAGAACACTTCAGTATTCTCCATTACATAAGCCTTATAGGTAAGGCTTGGGAGGGAGTGACTACCAGGACTTTGAACTCTGCTTGGAGAAAATTGTGGCCAGATTGTGTCCACAAGAGGGATTTTGAAGGGTTTGAGGCAGCCCATGATGAGCCTATGTCAGTTGTGAACTCTATTGTCGCACTGGGGAGTTCCATGGGGTTGGATGTGAGTTTGGAGGATGTGGAAGAGCTGGTGGAGGACCACAATGAAGAGCTAACCACTGAGGAGCTGCAAGAGCTTCATCAGGAAGAGCAACAGATCGCAGCTCAGAATCTTGCTGCAGAGGAGGAGGAAGAAAGATGGAAGAAGTTGCCTTCTTCAGAAATTAAGGAGATTTTTGAAATGTGGGGTAGGATGGAAAGATTTATGGAGAAACATCACCCAGAGAAGGATGTTGCAAGCCATATCGGCAACTTGTACAGTGACAGAGTCTTGGCCCATTTTAGGGAAGTTTTAAAGAGACGCCAGAAACAGAGCTCTCTGGACAGTTTTTTTGTGAGACAGGACTCCAGTGACTCTCAAGGTGGTCCTAGTGGCATTAAGAAACAGAGAAGAGAAGTAACCCCAGAAAAGCAATTGGTACCCGAGGTGTTGATGGAAGGGGATTCCCCTTCCAAACAGTAAATAATCCAATCTGTCTCCTTCTCCAGTCTTCCATACACAAAGAAGAATCGCCAATAAAGGTAAGTGTTATTCTGTTAACGTTTAATTCATCATGTGCCATTGTATTGTTTATGTACTACATCTATATTTCATGTAAAAAAATTTTTTGTTTTAATACTTCTGGGTGTCAGGAATGGATTAATTGCATTTACATTATTTCTTATGGGGAAAATTGATTCGAAAATCGTCTATTTCGATAATAGTCTCACTTCCAGGAACAGATTATGGACGATTATTGAGGGACCACTGTACATATATTTATTTATTTATTTGGGGCCCTGATATTATATTCTATAGTGAGTTTATTATATTATTTCAGGTCGCTTTTTATATTGTATCTTTATATATGTTTCTAAACTGTTGTATCTGGGCACCTCTGCAAAAACAGTGATGATGTGTGAGTGAGGTGAAAGTGTTGAATGATGATGAAAGTATTTTCGTTTTGGGGATTTTCTTTCTTTTTGGGTCACCCTGCCTATGTGGGAGATGGCCAACTCGTTGGAGAAAAAAAAATCGTGGATTACTGATAAGTGATCTTTTCAGCTGTGACCTTAGGGATAATGCTTTGTTGCTCTTGAGAGAGTCACACCTCAGGGAGTAGTCACTGATTCTGTATCTTAGCCATCATCTCCTTTGCTCTATGGCATTCCTCAAAGCTCTGTTGTTCAACTGATATTGTTTACTGTTTAATTTAGTGCTTCAGATTTACTGATAGATGCCCATGGGGTTATCATTTTTATGCTGATGATGATAAATAAGGCTACATCTAAGTTCTGAATAAGGAAGACGAAAAACATTGTTTTAGTTCTCTGTTGTTGGATATTCAGACTTGGATGACAATAAATTTGAAAATAAATGTCTAGGAAAGTTTGAGTTGGACCTGCCTAGCATGGGCCAGTAGGTCTGCAGCAGTGTTCCTTCTTAAGTGAGTGAGACAGCCTGCTGCAGTGCTCCTTTTTTCTTAGGTTTTTATGTTCTATACAGAGTCAGGTTATACTCAAATACAGTATATATACAAAATCTACAGCTTAATTATCTAAATAAAATCCAGTTACCTTATTATAAAGTTATGAACGTTACTTACTGCAGCATGTATAGGTTCCTGTAGCATCCTTGCAAAGTCATCTATGAGGGAGGAATAGCGAATATCAGCCAGACGTGTGTGGAAGGCTAGAGTACCCAAGAGGTGCAATGATACCTCCAAACTTGATGACCCTGTTCTGTATTCTGCTGGTATCCTTGACATGACCTGCTCAGAGGAGGAAGTACAAGTCATATTGAGCTTTTAAATGCAATTCTTTATTTAAATTATACTTTTATTTTTATCAAATGCTTGACTTTCTTCAGAGCATTACTAAGAGGCAGAATATGAGAATATTTTAATTTTAAGATTCTGGAAAGGAGATGCAGTCGAAAGTGCAAGACAGTTCAAATATGTCTGTGTTAATAGACATCCATATACAAAACAATTTAATAAGGAGGTATTAGGTAGATGGCGAGAATATTTTGAGGAACTTTTAAATGTTAAGGAAGAAAGAGAGGCAGTAATTTCATGCACTGGCCAGGGAGGTATACCATCTTTTAGGAGTGAAGAAGAGCAGAATGTAAGTGTGGGGGAGGTGCGTGAGGCATTACGTAAAATGAAAGGGGGTAAAGCAGCTGGAACTGATGGGATCATGACAGAAATGTTAAAAGCAGGGGGGGATATAGTGTTGGAGTGGTTGGTACTTTTGTTTAACAAATGTATGAAAGAGGGGAAGGTACCTAGGGATTGGTGGAGAGCATGTATAGTCCCTTTATATAAAGGGAAAGGGGACAAAAGAGACTGTAAAAATTATAGAGGAATAAGTTTACTGAGTATACCAGGAAAAGTGTACGGTAGGGTTATAATTGAAAGAATTAGAGGCAAGACAGAATGTAGGATTGCGGATGAGCAAGGAGGTTTCAGAGTGGGTAGGGGATGTATAGATCAAGTGTTTACATTGAAGCATATATGTGAACAGTATTTAGATAAAGGTAGGGAAGTTTTTATTGCATTTATGGATTTAGAAAAGGCATATGATAGAGTGGATAGAGGAGCAATGAGGCAGATGTTGCAAGTATATGGAATAGGTGGTAAGTTATTAAATACTGTAAAGAGTTTTTATGAGGATAGTGAGGCTCAGGTTAGGGTGTGTAGAAGAGAGGGAGACTACTTCCCGGTAAAAGTAGGTCTTAGACAGGGATGTGTAATGTCACCATGGTTGTTTAATATATTTTTAGATGAGGTTGTAAAGGAAGTAAATGCTAGGGTGTTCGGGAGAGGGGTGGGATTAAATTATGGGGAATCAAATTCAAAATGGGAATTGACACAGTTACTTTTTGCTGATGATACTGTGCTTATGGGATTTTCTAAAGAAAAATTGCAAAGGTTAGTGGATGAGTTTGGGAATGTGTGTAAAGGTAGAAAGTTGAAAGTGAACATAGAAAAGAGTAAGGTGATGAGGGTATCAAATGATTTAGATAAAGAAAAATTGGATATCAAATTGGGGAGGAGGAGTATGGAAGAAGTGAATGTTTTCAGATACTTGGGAGTTGACGTGTCGGCGGATGGATTTATGAAGGATGAGTTTAATCATAGAATTGATGAGGGAAAAAAGGTGAGTGGTGCTTTGAGGTATATGTGGAGTCAAAAAACGTTATCTATGGAGGCAAAGAAGGGAATGTATGAAAGTATAGTAGTACCAACACTCTTATATGGGTGTGAAGCTTGGGTGGTAAATGCAGCAGCGAGGAGACAGTTGGAGGCAGTGGAGATGGCCTGTTTAAGGGCAATGTGTGGTGTAAATATTATGCAGAAAATTCGGAGTGTGGAAATTAGGAAAAGGTGTGGAGTTAATAAAGGTATTAGTCAGAGGGCAGAAGAGGGGTTGTTGAGGTGGTTTGGTCATTTAGAGAGAATGGATCAAAGTAGAATGACATGGAAAGCATATAAATCTATAGGGGAAGGAAGGCGGGGTAGGGGTCGTCCTCGAAAGGGTTGGAGAGAGGGGGTAAAGGAGGTTTTGTGGGCAAGGGGCTTGGACTTCCAGCAAGCGTGCATGAGCATGTTAGATAGGAGTGAATGGAGACAAATGGTACTTGGGACCTGACAATCTGTTGGAGTGTGAGCAGGGTAATGTTTAGTGAAGGGATTCAGGGAAACCAGTTATTTTCATATAGTCGGACTTGAGTCCTGGAAATACGAAGTACAATACCTGCACTTTAAAGGAGGGGTTTGGGATATTGGCAGTTTGGAGGGATATGTTGTGTATCTTTATATGTATATGCTTCTAAACTGTTGTATTCTGAGTACCTCTGCAAAAACAGTGATAATGTGCGAGTGTGGTGAAAGTGTTGAATGATGATGAAAGTATTTTCTTTTTGGGGATTTTCTTTCTTTTTTGGGTCACCCTGCCTCGGTGGGAGACGGCCGACTTGAAAGAAAAAAAAAAAAAAAAAAAAAAAAAATCTTCCTGAAGACATTATTTATAATGGCAGTCACCACTCAGTCATCTTCAATCCAGAATCAGTTGAAACTCAACAACAATCAGTATTAAAGTAGACAAGGGTCATCTTGAGTGACAAAAAAAAAATAAACCCCTCTCAGCTGAACTTAAAGATAACATAATATTAATACATATACTCTACTGAAAGACAATATGAGGTGAATTTTTTGGGTATTCACCTTGAAAGCAAACTTAAATTAAATAAACAGCTACCCTTTCAGATTTTGTTAACCGTGATGTGCAGACATAAATCCCTCACTCCTGCCATAATTAAGCACTTACTCTTAATACCTAAACATGCTAAACACTGGGTCATTGTTAAAACTGAGTGTTCTATATACTGCATAAGAAGCACAGTATTAAGTGTGGATGTTTTGTACACCTAGCAAATTTAAACTTGAATAGGGGGTTGAGTGTTGTCTGGAACCTGGTTAATTGAGCATTCTAATAAATTTTTGTTAAATAATAACAGGTTTACATTATTGATATTTAAAAAAAATTTAATTTCCTAACTTACCTGCTGAATGAAATCTGCAATTTGTTCTGGCATGATCTCTCTCTTACTTCTTTCAGAGTTGTTTATGAACTGTGAGAAGGTTGACCACAGGTGAGTAGCTGTGGTGGTCGATGCCTGCAAGAAGCTCTCTACTCCTGGAATGCTTAGCAACATTGCCTCCATCCCTGTCACTCGCACCACTATCTTTGGGCAGCATAAATGAGCTCATCTAATTATCAAAATTTTGTTTTATAATAAATTATCTCAACTTACTGCCTCAAATATTTTTGCTTTAGACTAACTTCATTTAAATTTAAACAGTGAAAGACATTTACCCTTAGTGGATTTTTATTTTCACTATTGTATGTTCAAAATCCAACTGGCATATAAGTACTACACTAGTACAGTGGACCCCCAAGTTTTGTGATTAATCCGTTCCAAAGAGTCTGTCGACTGGCGAAATTCACGATTGGCGAATCTATTTTCCCCATAAGAAATAATGGAAATCCAATTAATCCGTTTCAGACAGCCAAAAGTATTAACAAAAAATATTTTTTTTGAAGATTAAATATAGATTTACATACAGAAAACAATGACAAATAAATATAAAGGACTTATAAAATGGATAAATGAACATTTAACATCACACTTAACCTTTATTGATTCTTATTGGTGTAGGAGGTAGGTAGGAGGCAAGAGGAAGGCGAAATTATTATGCTTCAATATATATGATGGCAATATCATCACTACGGCTTATTTATCTATCACAATTCATGTAATATGACATTATAAGCAATAGTAATAACATAGAAACATGATATATACTCTAGAATGAATAAAATATGTCATAATGTATGAGAGAAGTATATGGTTTAAGTGTTGTTGTTGGGTTTAAGGGCCACCACTGAGAGAAGCCGTGTTGGTGGCGGTGGAGGCTTTGGCCACCACCATCATCACACTTAAACAATGTATGTAATTTATAAATAAGAAATATTTACATTTTAATTTATAAATAAGAAATATTTACATTTTAATTTATAAATAAGTAAGTTTATTCAGGTATACACAAATACAGTTACATACACAGATTATCATACATAGCAGCATATGTGTAAAGTACCCAGGATAACCCCAAAAATTCAAGACTGACATATTTCCATTGGTGTCCTTTTATATTTACACTTATATTTACTTTTATACTTACACTTTTATATTTACACTTACCTTGGAGGAGATTTTAGTTTAATTAGTTAGTTTGATGAAGGAGATGTTGGCAGAGGTTTAGGGTGGTGGAAGACAGCAGGGCAGTGTATGTTCAGCAGTCCTATACACATCCAACAACATTGGAGAGTTACTCTCATGTTGTTTTTCTATTACTTACTCGCCTAACTTACTTGCTACACTGTTAATTCTACACTATCGCTGGCTGGAGCTATAGCCTTTATCAATACCTGCTGCTTTAGTATCATACATATTGTAGAATCACTGAATCACTGCAGAAGGCACATTCTCCCCTCTCTCTTCCTCCTCTATTTTAGTACTTTGCTATGAGTTTTTTCTTGAATTCTATCATGTTTCTCACCTTCTTTACCAAAGGGCTGGCACAAGAAGCTTTCTTTGGGCCCATGGTGGCTTATTTAGCAGTTGTAAGCACAAAAAGCAATGAATTATTATGAAATGTGTTGTATGAACCTGTGGGGTGATGGTCACATGCTGGTAAACAATGGGACACTGAGTGTGAATAGTGCGGGAGACTGGTTTTGTGTGCGCTGATGGGCAGACGCGTACCAGAAGGTCCAATCACGAACCACAAAGCTAAATTTTGCCGAAAAAACTTGCCGAAAGTCAGATTTCATGAAAGTTGCGGCCACCGAACGGCGGGGGTCCACTGTAATACTGAATAAGAAAATACATAGTAGACATTCTATCTCAAAATATTCTTTTTAATGCTTATCCATCATGAAACCATCTAACAAACAACTGAATTTGTTCACTAGGTTTTTTCTCCTTATGTTTCCCTCTCAAAACTCTTTCTTATTAGGAAAATTTGCAGGTAATGCCTTACACCTTCTTTCATTTACCCTCAACCATTTTTTTTAAACTATCATTTCATCTCTCTATATTTTCTTTTTTATAGTATAAATATCTATAAAGCTAGGAATTCTTATCAAGTATTTACACCTGCAAAAAAGTCACCCTACCTTGTTGAAAAATGGTCAGCATAGTAAAAAAAAAAAAAAAATAAGAAAAGAATACAGTAGACTGTAGGATAGCATGTGATCTGTTAACATGTTTTCGCTCCTACATGGTTGCACAATTGTGGTATATTTTCAGGAAAATAAAAAAAACATCTGTTTACATGGTGGAGTCCATGCAGGGTAAAATGTGGCATGTGCCACAGTCTTTCTCCTCTACCTCACAGTGAGTCTTAGAGCAAATTCACTGTCTTGTGGGGGAGGCCTATGTAATATACACAACCCCCCTCACCCACTGCTCTGTTCATACATGTCCAATATCATACTCAGTCTCTGTTAATGAATCGACTTTTTATTTTTTCATCATCCCATCTCATCTCTGGATATTAACAGAAGCACCTAAGAGGAATGTGAGTGATCCTGGAACTGTAAAAAATTAAACCATGAAAGTCTCGGTGTTTTGAAGAAAATAGAGATATTAGATAAGCTTTTAAGAGTGGTGTATGTGTGGTGGAGTCAGCACAAGCCTTAATGAGGGATTACTTTTTACAATTAATAAGAGTAAGGCAAGGATACGAACTTGTGCAATGAGTAATTCAGGTTGTAACCTTCTGAAAAGAATGACAAATAGGTCAAAACAGCTAAATAAGACAGAAAAATTGAGTGAGTGGATTGAGTAAAAGATCAAGAAAGGTGTACCACTTAATTTTATCTTAATGAGGAAAAAACGTACTATAAAACATTGTGTGATGAGGAAGACCTGAAGTACAGGTTTAGTACAGGGTAGTTCCACAAGTTCAAACTGCTCAGTTGACTGAATAATATTAAGTTTTCTGGTGAAAGTGCTTCTGCTGCAGAGAATTTTCATGTTGAGTTACAGTAAATTATTTCTGAGGGGTGCTACAAGCCACAAGTGTTTAATGCAAAAGAGACAAGTCTTTATTAGAAGATGCAATAAGAACTGATATCAGTCAGCATGAGATAAGAGCACAGAGATTTAAGGCAGCTTTCTTCTTAGGAATAAAAGATAAAGAATCTAACACAAAGTGGGAGTTGTCACAGTTGCTGTTTGCTGATGACACTGTGCTTTTAGGAGATTCTGAAGAGGAGCTGCAGAGGTTGGTGGATGAGTTTGATAAGGTATGTAAAAGAAGAAAATTAAAAGTGAATATAGGAAAGAATAAGGTGATGAGGATAACAAAAAAAAAATAGGTAATGAAAGATTGGATATCAGAGTGGAGGGAGAGAGTATGGAGGTCGTGAAAGTATTCAGATATTTAGGAGTGGATATGCCAGCAGATGGGTCTATGAAAGATGAGGTGAATCATAGAACTAACGAAGGGAAAAAGGTGAGTGGTGCACTGAGGAGTCTGTGGAGACAAAGAACTTTGTCCATGGAAGCAAAGAGGGAATTGTATGAGAGAATAGTTATACCAACGCTCTTATATGGGTGCAAAGCATGGGTGGTGAATGTTGCAACAAGGAAAAGGATGGGGGCAGTGGAGGTGTTGTGTCTGAGGGCAACGTGTGGTGCGAGGGGCTTGGACTTCCAGCAAGCACACCTGAGCATGTTAGATAGGAGCAAATGGAAACAAATGGTTTTTAGGACTTGACGTGCTGTTGGAGTGTGAGCAGGGTAATATTTATGAAGGGATTCAGGAAATTGGCAGGCTGGACTTGAGTCCTGGAGATGGGAAGTACAGTGCTGCACTCTGAAGGAGTGGGAGTTAATGTTGCAGTTTTATAATTGTAGTGTAAGCACATCTCTGGCAAGATGGTGATGGAGTGAATGATGGTGAAAACTTTTCTTTTTCGGGCCACCCTACCTTAGTGGGAAACCGCCAATGTGTTAATAAAAAAAAATAAAAAAAAATTGTATGAGCTATGCCCCTCAAGGGAGGTTCCTTGATGCTAGTGAGGGGCTCTTGATCTAGGAAATTGGATCTATGCTCCAGTTTCCTGAATTGAGCCTGAGTGCCTTCCATCATCCCCCCACAGAAGATGTATAATCCCTACAAGTTTAGTGCTCCCCCATGATAATAATAATAATGAAGAGGATCCTGACAAGTCTAGAAGCACTGCTCTGAAATGGGGCTAGAGCAGCTGATGATGCCTTACCATCTGCTGTATAAAGTACTGAGGATAAAAGAGACAATAGATACATTACAGAATTTCTCAGTACTCCAGTACAACCAACAGTATCAGTGCAAAAGCCTCAACCATTCACCTTAGCTAACAATCCACAAGCATCCACCTCAGCTAATGATCTAACTTCCACATCAGCTAGTGATCCTCAATCTTCCACCTCAGCCCAGCAGGGCCACACCATTTCTCACCACACCTATCAAAATATCAAAATCATTGTCATACGCCAGCAACCAGAATTTAAGTTAAGAAGTAATATAGGTTGGCCATCACTAATCCAGCAATCAGTAATCTCATCAACACCATTGTTAATGAGGAGCTACTCAAAATATCTACTTGGATGACAGCCAATAAAGTTACACTTAACACTGACAAAACCTTCAATATTATGTTTGGTAACAGAGCAGGTGTTGCACAACTTAACATTAAGATCGACAACACTCATATTGCCAAACATAATGAGGGCCAATTCCAAGGCCTGCACCTCGACAGCAACCTGAATTTTGGCACCCATATCCAACGTGCAGATTGTGGCACGTAGTAACGTGCCCTTCTCACACTATACTATTCACTCATTTATCCCTACCTCACCTATGCTATTTGTGCTTGGGGATCAACTGCAGCAACACACCCCTAAAACCAATAATAACCCAACAAAAAGCTGGAGTAAGAATAATCACACAATCCAATCCCAGGCAACAACCTCCCCCCCCTCTTCACAGATCTAAACTTACTGTTCAGAACATCCACACTTACTACTGTGCAATCCACATTTGGAGAACCTTAAACTCCAATATTAATTATGACCTAAAACACTTTCTTGATAGTTGTGACAGGACCCACAGGCATAACACCAGACACAAA